CTTCCAAAGGCTGGAGGGAAGCAGCCAGAAGATGGCCTTGCAGACTTCTGGGAATGCTGTTCTACAAAGCCACGCCTGACCTCATGCTTGCCTAGAGTGGCACCTGAGCGCGCCAGTTCCCAGTGAACTGGTGAAGGTAAAGCTCGCAGGCCAGATCCCATCAGCTCCCACATGGCTGGCCTTCCCCAGCAGAGGATGCTGGGCTGCTCAAGGACCATAGCACAAAGTTAGAGAACTGTGTCCAGTTCAGGCATCTCTACCCCAAGGAAGACAGAGAAAACCCATTACCACCGAGTGTCTTCCCTCCTCGACACTCCAGGAGATCCCTAGCCGCCCGCCTCTGCCATGGTGGAGTTAGACCAGGTTAACACGACTGAAGACATCTTTGTCCTCACCTCCCTCTGCCTCTACTTCCTCTTTCTACAGGCTTTGATCATTCCCTTGGCACAAAGGAACAGATGGGTCTCCACTCAGAAGTAATTATTTGGAAATTAATTCTTGCATTTTAGAATCCAAGGATTAAAAATTAAAAGCAAAAAGGAATCAAGGAAGGACAAACGCAAGACATCCTTGTCTTACCAAAAGGGTGTGGCTATAATTTACATATTCCCAAGAATGGGGAAAAGGGAAGTATTTTTCAGTGGCAGCCAGAATCCCGATGCATAGAAGATATTGGTTTTTTTCCAAACAGAGCTGGGATCTGAATTTCCAAGCTGAGACACTTTCAGGCACGAATGGGCTCCCACAGCCCATGTGGACAGAGATCCCACCAGCCCACAGCTTAATTCTTCAGTTGCTTTATCTTCATTTCCCATCAATCTTCAGCTGGCTTCTAACTCGAGCACATAGGTGCCCTGCCCTTCCCAGTCTCTATGTAAATCATTCTTGCTGGGAGCTAACTATTTAAAGGACCTCTTTTGTACATGGAAAATTTATTTTATGTCTTCTCTTTGTAGAAAATTGCCCAATGAATCTTAAAAGTTCTGTGGGCCTGCGAACAGACCTAATCACGGGTCAGGAAGCTCCGCTTTGCATTTACCTCACGCAGAGATAAAGGTGACACTGTGAGGAATTTTATGGCAACACAGTCCTCCCCACAAGCGTCCTCTCAGAGCCTTGGGGATAGCCACCGCCTGACCTCTCAGAACTTCCCTGGCCAGTAAAACGACAGGAAGGCAGAGAGGTCACAGACAAAAGACAGCATGAGTACACTACACAGAGCTGTGATTCTATCTTCCCAGACTAAGCTGCCCTGTAGAGCTTGACTGATAGAACAGGATTTGGCCTCTGTCCCTGTATCTGTCCCTCCACCTGGCTGTCACTCGAGAAGATTCTGTATAGGAGAGTGGGAGATGCAGAGACAAGACAGTCAGGGTGGCAACCCACAGGGACCGGGGAGAATGCCCCCGCACCCTCACCAACTTGTCCATCCTCATACGGTGAGACAGGCTGGGCTTGAAATATTTCTTACCTGGTTGAGAAAACAGTCACAGAAACAGTAGTCTTCACTCACCCTTTGTAGATCCCTCTGTAGAATCCCTTCTGGGATCTGGCTGACTGTTACAACCCAAGCAGGTGTCCTACCATCAACCTATCTCATAACTGGCGAGGGAGCAAACAGCGAGCCACAGGCGCCTGGGAGATGCTTCTCATCCCAAGGGAGGGAGAGCCCTCCGGTCCTCTGCCAGCCATAGACCATTACCAGCTATATTCGGCAAATGATTAGAGAAAATCCAGACTTCTTTGGGACAAGAACTAAAAATATAGCAAATTCACTAGTTATCACTAACATTTATCTAGAGAGCTGGAGGCTTTTTTTTAATCAAGCTATCTTTATAAACTCATAATTCACAGGCACCTCAAAAAATCACTTCAACTCTCCCTTGCATTAGGGCTAAGGAGCAGGAAGTCACCTGACACACTCTTGACACCAGAGTCTCCACCTCTCACACCACAAGGTTTAGTGTGGCTGTGAACTTGAGCAGCGGCTTCTGGGAGGGTCAGCTCTGCAAAGTAAACAACTGCAGTTAATTCAAAGTCAGCCAGTTGAAAGTTTACAGATGTTTTTCAAAATACTTGCAATGCATCCAGGGATCTGAGTTATCTTTTGCTTTTATAGACTAACCACTAAGTATTAAATTTAACACTGGTCATGGGGCCAAGGAAGTAACAAGGCCTCCAGGGGCATTTGAGACTCGGCAAGCGCCTCACATAGGACCAGTGTGCACCTGTCTGGTACTGGGTACTTCCCTGAGCCTCATGTTCTGCTGGGTGATGTTGCAGCACCTGGGCACCAAGACCCGTCAATGGCGAGTACACCGCACTTGTCATGGGCCTAGACACAGGAGGCTTTATAGAAATCATTTCTAAAACATTCTGAAGGAGAGTGAACATGTTCTAACTCCATCTACCCTTCGACAGGAAAGCAATGGGCCTGCCCAACAGAATCTCAGCTGTGGCTGTCCTCTGGGTATGGGACAGGCGAGAGGTCGGTGACTATCAGAGATCTCAGCAAACCAGGGAGCAGAGCGACAGCAGGACAGCAGGTACAACAGAGCAATAACAATTTTTTTTTTTTTTGCAAACAGGATTTAAAAAGAAAATTATTTTACCACAAAGCAAGTATGTTCTCAGAAACCTTGTTTTCTAGGCAAAGATGGAATGAAATAACACCAGCTACAATGATCAGCAGCATGAACGGAGATAACAGGCAAACGGCAAATTAAATAATGATACATGGTGTTTGTCTCAGTCTTTGGAGAAAAGACACTGGATAAATATTACGAAAATACCTACTGTTTGCTTCTGCAATAATTGCTTTTCTATTTCCATAAGCTCCTTGCTCTAACAAAGAGACACACAATAGGAATTATATATTTCCTTAATGATTTTTATTCAACAAATTTTGACCACCTACTCAGTATCAGACACCATCCTACCTTCCCCCATCTACTCTTTAATTCCAACGAGATTCTATGTGTGTTTCAATCTCTCCACAAATGGAGAACACCATAAAAATGAAAATGTTGGCCATTATTTAGAGGATTAAGGTCTCAAGAAACACAAGCTTATCTTGTTTCTCAATAAAAACTTTCCCTACTAGATTGGGTGTCCCCTGAGGGCTCAAACAGGGTCAAATTTGCCTGGGTCCTGGGCTCAGGCTGGATCAACGGGGGCTAGACAGCAGGGCCTGGCCAGGGTGGAAGACTGTAGGTCAGCAGCAGTCAGGGAAAGCCAAGGCCCCAGAGTGCGACCTTCACTCCCCAGTCTTCCACCCCAGAGCACTGGGAGGGGAGGGCGCAGGAGGGTCCATGCAGACACCTGCTTTCCCTTGGCCTTCCCTGGGAGATGGGCCCACTGTCACCACCCAAAGATGTGGGGCTAAGACCTAGCCTTCCAGTCAAGTTCAAATAGGTCAAAGACCAGAGAGAGTGTACACTGGCCTCTGGTCACTCTGCTGTGGGCTCCACTTTTCCACAAGCTGGGATGCTGCATCACTGCCCAGCGCAGAGATGTCTACTGAACCCTCAGTCTGCTTCTCTTCAGAACTAGGTTCCCATCCCCGCTCCCCTGAGGCTGCCCTACCTTCTTCGCCAGTCTAGTCCAGGAGTGCTCTTCCTTCTAGCCAAGCAGGCCATTGAGCTCACTCCACAGCATGCGGTCCTGAACACAGAGCTGCAGGTGTTCGACAGCACGATCGTCTCCACTTAACCTGCAAAGCTGACTCCCACTCCATCCACCCAATCAATGGAAAGATGCTCAGCAAATACTTGGTGAGTTGACACATATCGATGTTTTCCCTCAAATGTGGCACTATACATACCCAAGTTCATTCCTTGCCTTTGCTTTATCACTTCAAAACGAGCTAGACATTTTCAGTGCCAGGCATGAGAATTCCCAGGAAGGGGGAAGCAGAAGGCACCCCTTTCTGATGCACTGGCCACCCAAACCACTTAAGGCTTGCTTCCACATGAACACCTTCCTTGAAGGAGCTTTGGTCTGTTTAATGGGTAGGTTTATGGGCACCTTCTGCCCAGTTCTGCCTCTGTGAGTCAGGCTAGGTTTCTTACTTCGACTACGGATACAAGGTCCGCTAAGCTCTGGAGCAGTGGCTCTAGACTCTGGCTGTCCATTAGTTTATCTAGGCAAGGGACTTAGGAAGCTGATGCCTGAGTCCCGCCCCAGAGATTCTCATGTCATTGAGTGAGGGCGCAGATTCCAACCAACTGTAAACCCTGCTCTAAAAGACACAGCAGCTCTGAAGCAAAACGGGAGGTGGACAGCGTGCTTCGGGGCCCAGTCTACAAGGACAGCAGGTACCGAAGGAAGTGACAACTGGCGTGCAGCTGAGGAAAAGGGCTCGAAAATGCAGGGACTTACCTTCGATCCAACATACCTGATCAGTCCCACCAGGGCAAGGATACCTGTACTGAAATTCTCACCGGAGCCTCAGACCCACAGTCCCTGATCCTCTACAACGTTTCTCCCAGATGTCCTGGCCCCATCACAAAATACATCAGTGCCACTCAGAGTCAGCACTCGCACCTCATGGAACACCCAGGAGCAACACTGGAGTTCTCCCTCCCGTCTTCCTGGCCCCAGCCCTTCTCGGGTGGGAGCGGCTGTGGCAGTCCCTGGCTCCACTCCGACTGGGGCATGAGCCTAGGCATCTGAAGTTGGCCTCCAGGTGGTGCTTACACTTGTTTTCTCATCAGTGAATTGGCAACCATGCTGTCACTGACCCCACAGGTCCGCTATCAGGAAGGTGATATTTCAGCCATTCAGCCCAATGCCTGCACAGACTAAGCACTCCATAGAGACTGTCTCTTTCAATGACTATGGTTTACCCTGCACTCAACGGCCATAACGAGGAGTATCATGTTCTGGATGCTGCAATCCTTTAAGACAGAGACCCTGGATAACAGCGACCCT